AGTTGTTTGAATGCCTCGGATATTAGAAGTAGATGAAAGTTTTTCTTCAAATTCGATAAGTAAATTATTGAAACTCAACTATTTACGTTGAAGAAATTTATAAATGTCTATTGGAAGTGATTTTTATACATCCGATTGCATATAGGAGAAAATGAACGATCAGTTTAAACATAAAGATATCTCATTTGAGTTTTCTTCCGGTTTGAGATTCAATTTTTACTTCCAGTAAGTTTATTTATTATTTACTCTTATTTCTATTTGTTGCTTTCTTCGAACCAATTATTTCATCACAAACAATGAGCGACATCATTCTAACCATATGTTTCAGTTTCAGTCGAACGAACTACCCAGATCGAAAAACTATTGCTTACTTCATATAAAACCAATGAACTCATCAAAGTCCGAAATCTTACTTTATCATTATGCTTTCATTCTTCTTCTCTAATAATGGAACAATCATTTAGAATTTGAATACTACATAGATAAATGGTTTCTTTCGATTCTTCTACAGTTACAAATGTGGGTGTGGATTGTGCATATAGGTATTTTATTCACTTTCCTTTGCATCTACACTCACTACATCAGCAAAAGACAAAGTATACCGTGAAGATATTTTATTTATAATAGGTACCGATTGTTCGAATATATATATTGTTTACGTTATTGGTTAGCATCATCCACTTGTGCTATGGATAAAGCAGAGTTTCTCTGTGCATGCGCGTATCTCTTTAAACAAAAACAAAGAATACTCTTTTTCTTCAATACATTCATTTCTTCGAACAAAACGAAGATCAATTACAATTTCTCTTTTATAAATTCAATACTCTTTCGAATAGCAAGAAGATTAGGGTGATGCTCAGATAGTGAACGTTGTCCAATTTCAAGGACATGTTCATAATACAAAAATGCTCTCGAGTAATCACTCATGTTTCTGAAAATTCAGTCGATATTATTGTAAGAACTAGCTAAATTCAGATAATTTACAGGAAGAGCTTTGCGATAAGATGAAGATACATTCGAATAGTTATCATGTTGCTATACATCGAACCAATGTTGTTGTAGGAAGGAATCCAAATGGCGTCCGTTGCTGAGAGAATCTTCTGGTTGACTTTAATGGATTTTTTTTATAATAGGTAGTGGTATCTTCATATTCTCCTTGATCCATTCGAGTTGATGATAAATAAATGACTGTTTCAAATCCATTGTTATTTAATCAAGCAGAATATCATACACGCTTTGAGTTTTGTTGAATCGCTTCAGTTTAATCAATAACATACACAATCGATTCCATTTTTTCTCCTGAGAATAAGTTTCTTTATGCATTTCTCCAATACGTGCATAGTGTTTCAGGTCGTTTCCAGTAACTAGCGTAAGATCTATTTGCCAACGACGATCGTTGTTAATTTGTTGGACTTGACCAAAATGAAAGATAGAATGTATGAAGAAGAGAATTTCTTCTTTTTTGAAACAACCGACCATACACCGACATTGGCGAATAGTGTAGACACGGTGGGCAATCCAATTTTCATGATGAATAAAATGCCAACCGAACCGGACCTTTCAATAGTGTGACGAATAATTTTTAGTAATATTTGACAGTCCTTACTAATCCATAAGAAATGATTAAATGATAAAAGTCTACATTCTGTCTTGATCACTTAATCAAACCCTATCTGTTACAAACTTTGACTACGAAAGATAATAAACGATTTTGAAATGTGTATGTCTTACATCTGTAATTATCCGTTGAGCATCGAATAAAGAAAACTTTGATAGATATACTACCAAATTGAGAAATGATGATGGTATTCATGTATCAGCTTGTCAACAATTTCAAGTTCTTTTGGATTCTCGACGAAAATTTTGCACTAGTATCTAGTAAAATCATTGATATGTTGTTGATCGAAATATATAGTTAATAAAATTTCTTTCATGATTTGTGTATATATAAATGACGAATCCAATTGTTCGAGATTTTTCCTTGCTACTTCCACTACTGTTAGTGATAAAACTAATCAAACTCAAGTTTTGATCATATTCATGTGCCGTTTGTTCAAGTAATTTGTAGAGAGATGCAATAACTGTAAAAACATCTGTTCTTTTACTAATGTTTGGTCTATTGTTCATACGAGACTTTGTTCCCCACAAAAAAATAGAAGCAGTACTGAGCTGGCAGCATGTCATGTATGATGCGAACGATTGTTTTTCCAATTGTAATTGAAGAAATCATAAACACTTTCTCTTCTTTAATATCGCTGATAGAATTGATACATTCATCTGCATCAGTGAATGTATCTACTTTATTTAGTATCTCTTTTAATTTTGATGTTGTATTCTTACAGTTTATGTTTTTCTCCTGATCAATACTACTGTCAAACCAGACCTAGCAAAAAGTTTTGAGTTATACGTGTATAAGGTAGCTGTCGTATCCTTTATACTTGTATGTCCGATTGACACCGAAGCAGCCGATAGCTTGGTTGTTAGCTATATTTGCTTGTTATTCATTGTTTGCTTTACGACAATGAATGAAATCGATAATGAGGAGGAAAATGAAAAAAAAACATTAGTATTTACAGATCAGTCAAGTTCTTTAATAATTAATTAACCAACATGCGAAGAAAAAAAAGATCGAAATTGTGCTGTTGCTATCATTGTCGAGAAACAAATAAAATCCAAGAAAAATATTGCCATATATTCTTTGAACTTTTTCTTCCGCATTTCTTTCAAGAACTTCTTTCTCTCTCTCTCTATTCTCGTATGCTGATTTGTACATAGAAATGTAAAAACCATTGCAACAAACAACAGTTATTGAAACCGTCGTGCAGATGTTCTTTTACAGTACATAAAATAAAAAAAGACGCTTCTGTCCTTGTATACAGAAACGTATTGATTGTTCATTTTTTGCTTTGTTTTTTTTTTGTCAAGAACTCATTTAGACAACAAAACAAATAAGCATTATTCAACAATTGTTGTTATTGTTACCGACAGATTCTCTTCACTGTAAGTGTATGCAGTATGAGTTATGCATCACTGTCGAAAAAATTTAACATGCATTCGTTTGTTTTTATTCTTTCACTTTGCTTTTGTTCATAACTCAGTATAATAGCAGATATCTCCTTGAAAAACTCGTGTAACCAACATGAAACTCGTGATATTCTGCTCGCTATACTCGTTAATAGATATTTCACAAAGTCTTTACAACAGAAATCAGATCGTATGCAAAGCCTCATTATTTTCGATCTTGCTACATATATCCAATCTGAAACTTTGTGGTTTATAGTTAGTGAAACCTTTAATTTTTTTTCGATAGATCGAGGAATGAAAGGAAATTAATCCTTGACGTTGTAAATAAATAATAAATTGAAAAAAAAATGAAGTATAATAAAATATATTATAATTGGACATACGAACGATTATAGAATTTGTTTTTTTTTCGTTCTGTATGTTGTTTATTAGTAGGGATTCTTCAATAATGTTATAACAATGTTTGTCCTTCATCTTATCATCATCGATGGCAATGAAATAAGAAAAATATTTAATCGAAACTATAATTAGTCAAGATAATGGTTCACTTAACGTATAAACTAACCTTTTTATTGTCAAGTGAATAACATACATGACAAGAAAAAGATCAGTAATGAAATAATGGTGAAATCAGGAGAGAAAAAAAAAGAAGTACGGAGCTATGCACGAGAAAAAGAACAAGTAAAAAAAAACCTACGCGTCTGTCAGCTTCCTTGGAAAATTATATGTGTTTGCGTTATTAAAAATTTTTTTGCTCTACACTATTCTTCTTGCGTGTTCTTTCTTTGTTCGTCTTATATCGTATATCTTTCTTTCTTTTTTTTCTTCTTTTTGAATCTATAACGATGAGGCAATCAAATTCAATAAGCGAAACATTCAGCAACGCTTGACTAGTTCGTTATATCTTCTCATTTTTATTTCACACATCAGTCATATTTATAATTAGACAATCAATAACTCAACAAACCAATGTAACAAAATGACAAAAACGATGAATGTTGATAATAGCAATGAAGATTTTATTCATACGAAAACCGTTTTTCGTCGTCATTCAAAAGGTCCTGTTATGTTTAATGGATGTTCACCATCAGGTGATGTTATTATAATTGATAATATAAGTCAAAAAAAATCCTATGATCTAACTGGATGGTATATTGAACGACAAACAGATTCTCAACAATATCTTCGATATACATTTACGGATAAATTTATTCTTCCACCAATGACAACAATAGAATTATGGTCAAGTACAGCAACACCTATATCAATATCAAATGAACTAGAACATAATCAATCATCAGAATCACATGAAGAAGAACAACAAACATTTGTTATAATTAAAACAAAATTATTAACATGGAATACTGCTCAACAATGGAGTATTAATCAACTTTTTGATTGTCATGGACATGAAAAAGCTATTTTTTCTCATCGAACATTGCCACCAATAGAACATGAGAAAGAAGAATAAATAATAAATAAAATAGAATAGAATATTAAATCAAATTGAACTAATTACAAAAAAAAAAGTGCTGCTTTGTAATGATCTACTTTCAGTTATGAAATTTGAAACGATAAAATTTTCTTCTTTTCTAAAAGGATTTTAAAATACTTGAAAAAGAAACTTAAAAAAAAGCTATTAAATTTTCTTATCATTTTTCCTTCATTGACTGCTTAGTTTCATAGCTGTGTGTATGTGCATATATTCGAGATTTTTCAACGTAAAAATGACCAAGCAATATTATTTTTATCATGTGCAGCTGTTTGAAAAATATTGGCATGTTTCATGGTCTCACGATAAACTTTAAAAGTGTAAGGTACACGGAGAAGGTAGGTGTAAGCAGATGCCGATTTTCTCAATGTGCTAAAAGCTTTCTTATATATCAGCAAAATTATGGTATTGTTGCTCGATAAATCGGCTCTCATACATTCCGCTTAACGACTTCGAATCAACCCAAATTTACCAAAACGATAAAATGAAGTGCTTGGCATTAATCGCTGCTCTTTGCTTTTTTGGCGTATGTGCTGGACAAGGAGTAACAATGGACTTCCTTACTGATAACGTAGTTACTCCTATGCTTGATCAAATCTATCAAAGTTCGTAAACTAAATAATTTTAATATATTTTCTTATGATTTTCTTTTTATATAGATGCAATTAACCTGCTTGGTCAACAAATAACTAGCCTTTTTGGAGGTCTCTTTGGTGGCAAACGTGCATTACCAGATCTCATGAATATGAATATTGGTGAAGTAAGAAAAACAAAAAAAAGATTGAAATCAATTACAGAAAAAACAAAAAATTTCATTTCTTTTTTCTAATAAGGTTGTGACTCAATTTACCGCTCAAGTTAAACAAGTCTATCAACGTTTGTTTAACGTCTTTCTTCAAATTGTTCAACATGTTGAAAACGTAAGTTTTTTTAATAGAATTTTTCTTTTAATAAATAATATATTTGTTTTCTAGTGGATGCAAAAACCTAATTTGGCAAGTATCGAATTTGCTCGTGCTGGTGCTGAAGCTCAAAAGGCAATTTCACAAATAAAACTTGGTGTTAACGTAAGAAAATAATAGAAAAATCGAAGTATTCAATAGGAAATATTGTCAATGTATATTTTAGTTTTTACAACCACTCGTTAATCTTGTTCAAACTCATTTACAAGCTCTCATTCCCGATTTCGAAGGAATCATCCAACAAGTTTTCGGTGCTATTCAACAACCAATTCAATCACTCATTGGCACTGGTAGTCTTTTACAACCATAAATGAATGAATAAATAAATAAATAAATAAATGATTTCCCTTTCAATTTTCTTCTCTTTTGTTTTTAATAAGATCGCTCAAAAATTCTATAAAATAATTATTGATACTTTGATAACGAGCTAATTTTTTTTTGGTTTTTGTAAATGTTTAACAAAGGAAAACGATCCTTAACTATATTCTAAAATGTTTATTATCTATCTAGACCATACATATTTGTCATACATTGTAAAATTTTCGAAAGTTATTTACATCATTCATTCGAATAATTGATTAAAGTAGATCAATCTTGCATTCTTTGTTTTGATTCACTATGAATGCAATTTTATCATTCAGTATTTTGTAACATATTGTTTTATTGTGATTATATTCATCAAAGAAAAACTCAACAGATATTAATTGATTGACTTTCTCATACTATAGAAACTAGAGTCCCGGATTAAAAATTAACATAGATTGGGTCATATCGATCTTAGTCAGTTCCAAATTTAGTCCTGATTAATTTTTCGACCAAGACCAATAAGAATACCAATTAAAGTTGAGGATATATATAGTACTCGTATTTCTTAAGATTTACAAGCTATTCTATACTACAAATATGGATCTATTTCAAGCATATGAGAGAGAAGAGCTTGACAAAGTATAACTGGCCATCAAATCCGGTCGAGTTCGGGTTCGAAAATTTTGGACCTGATGGGTTCTAGGGTAAGGTAAAAACTTGTTTGATGAAGAAATAGAGTCTATCGTGTTGTGGTTGTTTTTTTTTCTTGATTACTTATATATTTCACTTTCTCTTTCAACATATAGAAAAAAACAATAAACTATCTCTGTTACTCATTTCCCTTATTGACAAATTAGGAATGGATCGAGTTTGGAATCAACTTTTTTTTCAGTATGGGACAAATCAATCAGAGACCAGTTTGGAGGACATTAAAAACTAGATATGAGCAAGATGGAACTAGGATCAACGTGTTTTCATTGCGAACGATATTTTTTATGATTGTGTAAAAACTTGCGTCGAATGTCATATTGTCACGTCTCATGTGTTCTAAATAAAATATGAGCAAAATTATTCCGATCCCGGCGGAGTCGTCACCGGAAACGACTGGTCTCGTTTATGTGTAATTGAAACAAACTTCATTTAGAAAAATCCCCCACACAAGCAATTCATTCATATGTCAACTAACAAAAGAATTTTTCTTTTGTGAAGAATACTTAAAGAGAAACGAGATAAATTAAAATATTTCAAAACAGAAAGATTGTAGTATCGATAGTGAAAATAACAAATCATAAACAAGAATTATTTTTATTCATATTAAAACACAACACATCTTCAATGATGAAAAAAGAAAAAAGAATGAGTTCATATAACATTGAAACGTAAAAGACTATGATGTTGATTAGGCATATTGTAAATCAAACCTAAGAAAACGATCATTTTCTTTTTTTTTTTCTTTTTAATATTAATTCTTTTTTCTTACCATTTATTTATTTCTTCAGCATGATTTTTAAGATTATTTAAAGGAATTAATACCTGAAATAAATTCAAAATTTAAATTAATACTTTAATATGACAAAATAATTTTCTTACTTCTCTATCACGAGGTGTTGATGGATCTGTACGATTACTGAGAAAAATATATAAATTTTTTTCAATAACTTTTTCATATGTAATACAAAATATCTCAGGTTCATTCCATTGTATAGGTGCATTTTCAACAACAAATCTTTCATGTTTTTCTACATCATATTTATTATTATCATTTTCAATTAATGAAAATGTTAAACACATATCTCGTGCATATACTTGTTCAGGTCTTATTATACCTTGTGCATTAATTATTTGAATAATTAATTGACTTCGCTCATCATCATATCGTATTGATAGATGTAATCGACCAAGTTTTGAATCAGGATGTACGATAGGATCATATTCTGATATATATTGTTGATCTTGATGTTGTATTGAATCATTTGTTTTATGGTGTGTACCTAATTCAATATCATGAACACATGAACGAAAATATTCATCTTGTAATCGATATATATCTGATTTTTCTTTAATAATTTCACCAGTTGGTTGATGTTCAGAAGTAAAAATTCGTTTGTTAGAATCAAAATTAATTATTTCACTAGGTTCACCTCGAGGTATGGGTTGATCATTTTCTAAACCTTGAAGATTTGATGAATTAGGTTGTTTATCCTAGAAATAAATAATAATTGAACTTTATTAAAATTTTCTTTTTGTTTTTAATTTTATTTGTAAAGAAAAAAATTGAATTTGAACTCATTTATTCAGTTTTCATTAGCTTCTTACATACCATAAGAGAATCAATTTGTTATAAATAGAAAAAAATGTTACACTTTAATATGAATGTGTAAGAGATAAGATAAAGAAATAATGATAAGAAAACGGTTGTAAAAAGAGATCAACAAATATCAAATTCGTAAAAGAAAAAAAATAAAAGAAGTTATTTTGACCGTTCTTAGATATTAATAAATTTTTTATCAAATTAGAATTATTCATTGAGAAAATAAATTATTTATTTAGTAACTTTAACAAAGAAAACACGAATTAGAATCTTTAAAAAAAAGACCAACAAGAGTAAACACAATACAAACGATGACTTATAACTAAAGACATAGTTGACAAAGAGAAGGTTTCAGGAGAAAAACTAGGAATGACTAATTCTACTACAATGTCTTTGGAAATTCACTGTAGCATTTGATATCTTCCACATTGATAATTGCTACTGAATCAGATGAACCTTGATTCAATAGCAAATTTAAGATACGGTCAAATACATCTACATGCAAGACAAATCGTTCAGAACGGTAGAGAGAACGAATCAATCTTTTTCCTTCTTACCGCATGGAACGATTCGTATTTAAGTACGGGTGCTCAAGCAATATATAACCATCCAAGGATTTAACCATTTTCCAAAAGATATCTATCTTCTGTTTAGAATTGAGTGCTTAGCAAAAAGAGAATATATATTTACAAAATAAAGAATGTCTATCTTCTATCGTTGCAGAGTTATTACTACTTGGAGAGTGATATCTCTCCGTTAAGAAATATATACTTCTTAGAAGAAAACAGTTAGCACATATGTTTTTTTTCTATTCCTATGAAATGACTCTCAAATAAGAAAAGAATTTTGTTAAACAATAAATCTTTGTCTCATACTGTAAAAGACTTGTATGTTGATGTGAAGTAGTCGTGTAGCCCTCATCTATAGTAGACTTTATATTTTTGTTTCTCAGAATAAAATCTAATTAGTGTATTCTGAAGTTTTCAGCTGTATTCGTTGCTTCTGTCGTGAGATATGAATATAAGCACGAAATTTATTTTTTCATACAACTAAATTTTGAATATATGTATCTCACGAGCGAAGCAACGAAAAAATCTGGAACATGCACAATGAACTAGATACAGTGAGATCATTATTTGTGAAGAGTTTCAAGTCGAATTTCGAAAGTTAAATTTCAACGTGATCTTAGTGGTACTACGAACTTTTGTTGGAACCCTTAGTAAGAATTCAATATTATAAGAACGAATCCCTGGAAAACCAAATCATTCTAGACTTGTTAGCACGCATTCGGATGAATATAGTTTCCACCCAGAAATAAATTAGCACCTTGAGAGATCCCTCGTGAGTTATGAGTGTTTCCCGATAAGAATTATCTATTGGAAACCTAAGCGATCTAAAAGATAAGTAATTACTGTACAAGTCACTCTGAATGAGTGTGCAACAAAGACTATGTTTGGGTTGCCGTATCTCAATAAGAGCTTAGATCCGCATTTTTGTGAATCTACCAAAATTGGTTGATAACACGCTATATCCGATAGTAAATTAGAATTCAGATAAAAGTCTTCGGAAAATCCGTGCGAAATAATTGCATTATTCATCAGTCGTTATTTTTTAGTGTATTACAAATAGATTTTTAGTTCTATTGGAGCAGAAGAACCTTCAGAAAATGTGAAATGTCTGTCTAGTATTTAATGAATATAGTTAGAACTTCAATTTGAGGCATACATTTTACTTGTAAGGCTCTATGAGTGATGTTCATCTACTTTACGTACTTTATCGTAGCTGCTACAAATCGACTAGTCGCTTGTAATCAGAATCCAAGATGTAGTTAAACACAGAATCATAGCAGCTTTGATGCTAGCTACAACATAGGTTCAGATCTCAGAAATCGATTTTTAAGATAACTCGTTCTGATTCGAGATTCGAATAGAACCGATAATGAATATAAAATTATGCCAATCAAATAACTATTTATCGTATGTAAAATATAAATGGAATACCAAGGTTTTTACATCAAAACTCAAATCGATTTTTATTTGTTCGATTCGATGTTCACGAAAGGAAATTTTCAGTACGTATATCATTCTTTCATATCATTACAAGATAAACTGAATCAGTTCGAAGTAGACGTACGGTACCGAAGATGTTATTAAACGAAGAAAATAGATTCCATTACCTCGTTATAATTGATCATCGCAGTAAACGATAGTCGTTTTCTAGTGACAAAAAGCCGACTGGCCAAACAGAATAATAGAAATATATTTTATAAATGTTTTTAACGATTACAATGATCTTTTTGAGTACGTGTTCTAGAATTTATTTTTTAATACTTTATATACTTCAAGAGTATTTTATGAGTAAATATGGATTCGAATAGAGAAAATTGTTTTCAACAAGAATATAAGGAAATAAAAATCGTTATCCAATTTTCAAAGATAGAGACACCAGAAAACCAAAACTCCAGCTTTCAGCATCTAGATCGCGTGAATATAATTTTATTTAAATTACATAGAACAATAGAGCATACAATTCTCTACAACATGAGATGTTTTCGAGTTTTTTGAAAAGTTTCTTTGCTGAGATATAAGAACCTTACAAAAGTGCCTAAAATCTTTAATTTTATTATTTCCTATACAAAAGCCATTTTTGACCTTCAACCAAATCACTGTATCACAGTCAAAAAACATCACAAGAGAACTCGGAGACATCTGATTTTATAGAGAATGGTTTACTCTAACATTCTATATAGTCTAAATAAAATTATATTCAAGCGTTCTAGGTGCTGAAAAACTAGGATTTTAATTATCTTGAGATCTTGTCTTTGATATTCTCTACTCGAATTACTATTTGAAATCTTTCTACCGCTTATCATAGTAGAAAAATTGGAATAGAAAATAATTTTTTCCAGTTTTTTTTTTTTAAATAAAATATGGAAATATCTTATTGGTGTAATTTCATATTCAATAGATGTCATTTTATAGTTTTTGAAGAAACTTTTTTCAATCAAGAAAAATCTTTAAAATCCATTAAAAAAACTAAAGAAGTCTATTTTCAAAAAAAATTTTAACACACAAAAAAAAAGCATCAATTTATTTCTAAGCGAAGGTTTTTTGTAAATCATTGCAATAAAATCAACAATATGACGATGACGAATACCATTTAACAGTTTTCTTTCTTTTTTTTTTGTTTTACATGGATTTGTCTTTTTAAAATAATTATATGTTTTTCTAGATCATTTTATACAATGCCGGCTAAAGCAGCACAACCAAAAAAAAAAGAAAAAGAAGCATCCGGAGGTTCATCTGGTGGTAAAGCTAAAAAGAAGAAATGGTCGAAAGGAAAAGTTCGCGACAAACTTAACAATATGGTAAATTTTACAGTTGTTTGTTTAGTTTTTTCTTCCTAATCCATTATTATCTATCTTAAGGTCTTATTTGATAAACCAACTTATGATAAATGTGTGAAAGATTTGCCACAATATAAACTTATCACACCGGCTATTGTATGTGAACGTTTTAAAGTTCGTGGTTCATTAGCTCGTTCAATAATTCGTGAACTTGTTCGTCGTGGTCTTATACGTTCAGTTGTTAAACATAGTCGACAAGAAATTTATACTCGATCAACTAAAGAAGATGCACCAGGTGAACAAGATACTGGTAAAGATAGTACAAGTGAAAAGAAAGAAAGTGGTGGTGGTAAAAAAGGTGGCAAGAAAGCAGCTAAAGTTGATGCAGCAGCTGCAGCTGATGAAGCTATGGCTGAATAAGATAAAATATCATAATAACGAAATCCGTTTTTTTGTTTATTTGTTTTTTTTTTTGAATAAACATAAGAAGAAAAAAGAAAAACAACAACCAAGAAAAATTTCTTTAAAAAAAAAAAAAAGAAAAAACAATAACTTTCTTCTAGATATGTTTCCATCAAATAATTCTCAAAATAAACGCAAAGAAATCTATAGATATGCAGCACCATGGATGGTTTATGCTATGAATTGGTCTGTTCGACCAGATAAACGTTTTCGTCTTGCACTTGGTTCATTTGTGGAAGAATATAATAATAAAGTAAATAGACAAAAAAAACCATTGAATAAAATAAATGATTCTTTATTTGATTTTTTTTTCATAGGTTCAAATTATTTCACTTGATGAAGATACATCAGAATTTACATCACGTTCAATATTTGATCATCCTTATCCAACAACAAAAATTATGTGGATACCAGATACAGTAAATAAACTTTCATCGAAATTTTGTTTTTCTATTTTTATTTATTCTTCTAAAGAAAGGTACTTTACCTGATTTACTTGCTACAAGCGGTGATTATTTACGTATATGGCAAACAAGTGATAATGGAACAAGATTAGAATGTTTATTAAATAATGTAAAAATAATTTACGTTATTCTTTTTTTAAATTTTATTCAAACTTTTAATTGTCTTAGTTTTTAGAATAAAAATTCTGATTTTTGTGCACCATTAACATCATTTGATTGGAATGAAATTGATCCAAATTTAATTGGTACATCAAGTATTGATACAACTTGTACAATATGGGGTCTTGAAGTAAATATTTTACCTTGCACATCATTCAGTATGAGTAAACTTGACACTCAGCGTATAATAACATTTTTTTCTCGATAATCTCTCTTGTATTAAGCTTAAAAAACAGAATGCTTATTTGTATCTTTTTTTTAGACAGGTCAAGCAATTGGTCGAACCAATCCAATAAATGGAAATGTTCGAACACAATTAATTGCTCATGATAAAGAAGTATATGATATTGCTTTTAGTCGCGGTGGTGGTGGTCGTGATATGTTTGCATCTGTTGGTGCTGATGGTTCAGTACGAATGTTTGATTTACGTCATTTAGAACATTCAACTATTATTTATGAAGATCCACAACATCATTCATTATTACGTCTTGCATGGAATAAACAAGATCCAAATTATTTATCAACATTTGCTATTGATTCAACTGAAATTATTATTCTTGATGTTCGAATTCCATGTACACCAGTTGCTCGATTAAATAATCATCGAGCTGGTGTTAATGGTGTAGCTTGGGCACCACATTCACCATGTCATATTTGTACAGCAAGTTAGTATTATTCGAAAAAGAAATATTTAATTATCTTTTATTTTTTGTTGTAAAAGGCGATGATAGACAAGCATTAATTTGGGATATACAACAAATGCCAAAAGCAATTGAAGATCCAATACTTGCTTATACAGCTGATGGTGAAATAAATCAAGTACAATGGAGTACAACACAACCAGATTGGATAGCAATATGTTTTAATAATTTTCTTGAAATCTTACGTGTTTAATTTATTTGTATATAAAAATACATTTTTATTTTAAATGTATTTAATCAATGTGATGGAAAAAATCTTTTCTATCAGCATAAAAACATCAAATGGTTTTGTATTGTTTTTATATATATATTTAAAAATAGAATTGAATTTATATGAACAGATGTCGCGAGATTTAAAAAAAAATTTGTCTCGCAATCTTTGTTTTCTTTTTCCTTATTTTTTATGTCGGTCGTGTTTTAGACATCAATATAAAGGACAACTTACTTGTTATTGACAACCAATCGGATATAACTTTTAAACAAGTATATAAGCAGTTTATATCTTGTCATTTTAGATATTTATTATATTAACTATCTATCATGTCTGGACGTGGCAAAGGTAAGTTTATTTGTTTATTTTTATTAGAAACAAAAAAAAAAGTTGAATAATATATTTTAAATTGTCTAGGTGGAAAAGGTCTTGGCAAAGGTGGTGCCAAACGACATCGTAAAGTACTTCGAGATAATATTCAAGGTAAGTTAAATCATAATAGAAAATCTATTAGATTAAATTTATATTATAAAATTTTTTTGATACATTTGAATAGGTATTACTAAACCAGCTATTCGTCGTTTGGCTCGACGAGGTGGTGTTAAACGTATTAGTGGATTAATATATGAAGAAGTTCGTGGTGTTTTAAAAATATTTCTTGAAAATGTTATTCGGGATGCTGTTACATATACAGAACATGCTAAACGTAAAACTGTTACGGCAATGGATGTCGTTTATGCACTTAAACGTCAAGGTCGTACACTCTATGGTTTTGGTTCATAAAGAAGAAAAAAGAAAAGGGGATAACATAGAGAATTGATTTGTCCAGCAAAACAAAAGAAAAAAGAAAAAATATATATAAATGTAACTGTGTATTTGATGTTGTTGTTGTTCTTTATTTCGTGTATATTTATGTTTTCATTACTGTACATTGTTCCTCATTTATTCTTGTGGTGTTTTCTTTATTATATCATTTGTCATTGAAGTTTTTGTCTTTGTTTTATGTTTATTACTATATATATATATCATAAATAAAATAAGATAAAATTAAATGAAATTTAGAAAGTAATCAGTATCGTAAACATGATATATATAATCAATAAGTAATTACACAACAATTGTGAAATACAATCAACCAATGAAAGATAATTGATATAGATTTCCTTCGCTGAAGGTGTCGGAAAAATTAAATTAAGATCTTTAGTTCATTTGAATAATTATCAGTTCTCTATTGGCTCAAATTTATAGAATGAAAAGAAAGAGATACAATATGATATTTGCTCTTTAATCTTTATTACGTTTATCTCTCTTGAACGTTATCGATATGAGATTATTAATAGTATTGAATAATATACAGCCTTTTTCATATTGGATGTAAAAATTACCAAATTAAAGACTGGAAAGATGTTCGACTTTGAATATCCTATGTAAAAGTGATTCAGTTTAGTTTCTGTTTGATTTTTTTACTGAAAATTGATGTAATCAACAGGCGATGTCTCTTTGGTGATGACTCATTGTTCGACATTCTGAAAATCAATCAGAAGATGGCGGTTGTATATAAATGAATAAAAATTTAGAAAATAATCAAAAATTTAATTTAAATAAAATTAAAAATAATTTTTAAAAGTTATTTATATAATTTTTCTCATCTATTTTAATCAATAGATTTTTTATTGATACTTATAGTATGAAAGTAAAACATGGACTATTCGACTCCTCTATCTTAGATATAGTTCTTAATAGTTTATTCAAACGAAATTTATATTTGACAATTTCTTTTTTTTTTCGTTAGTTTTTTTTAGATCTATCTATCGTAAGTTCATTCTTTGCAATGACTGATACGTATGTGTGAGCTGTTTTTTGTTTTCAATTAATCTTAATCGTTTTAATTTTAGTGCTAAAAAAGTGAATACAACTACAACACCAAAAAAGGCCGTACCGAAAGTACCAGAAGTCTTATTAAAAAAACGAAAACTCTATGCTGATCTTAAAGCACGTCGACTTCGTGCTCAAGTTCAAGCAGCTAAAGTAAAAAAAAACTAAAAAGAAATTATTCGATTTCAAAATTTATTCTGTACATATATATTTCTTTTGTTTTCATTAATAGCACAAAAAATACAAACGTTTAGTTATATTTAAACGTGCTGAAAGATATAATAGCGAATATCGTAAAAAAGAACGTGATTTAATTCGTCTTAAACGTTCAGCTAAAGTTCGTGGTAATTATCATGTTGAAGCTGAACCATCACTTGCTTTTGTTATTCGTATTCGTGGGTATGTTTTCTTTTTTTGTTTTTTAAATCAAAAATTCTTGTATTAAAATTACCTTCTTTAGTATTCGTGGTGTTCATCCACGTGTAAAAAAGGTTCTTCGTCTATTTCGTTTACGTCAAATAAATAATGGTGTCTTTGTTAAACTTAATAAAGCTACTATTCAAATGTTACGTATTGCTGAACCATATATAGCTTGGGGTTATCCAAATTTAAAATCTGTTCGTGAACTTATTTATAAACGAGGTTTTGGAAAAGTTAATAAACAACGTATTCCATTAAGTGATAATAGTGTTATTGAAAAATCTCTCGGTAAATTTATAATGAATATTAAAATTTTTAATTTTAATTATATTTTAAATTGCTCATTGTTTTAGGTAAACAACATATTATTTGTATGGAAGATCTTGTTCATGAAATTTTTAATGTTGGAGAAAATTTTAAAAAGGCTTCAAACTTTCTCTGGCCATTTAAACTTAATAATCCAAAAGGTAATTAAGAAAGAAAAAGATTTTTTGTTTTTTGTATATATAATTATGAATTTGTATTTTCTTTTTATTTTATATAGGAGGTTGGCGAAAGAAAGCTAATCATTTTGCTGATGGTGGTGATTTTGGAAATCGTGAACAATATATAAATCGATTGCTACGTAAAATGGTTTAGACGTGTTTCATTTGTTTTTTTCACGTTTGATTCATTTATCAACAGCAACATGGAAATAAAAACAAAAAGAAAAATCATTATTGTTTTGTTTTTTCTTGTCGATTTGATCCATTCGAGAAAAATAAAACAAAGAAGATAAGAATTTCAAATGTGTTTTTTTAAATATATCTATTATAGTAAAATTTGGCATGGAAATAT